ATATAGCCTGGGTGATCTTAGATTGCAGTTCTGTGCTCAACACCAGGATGACATTGATTTCCTCCAGATGGATGCGGACATGCCCCTCCCGTCTCGACATCGCCTGGTGGTACAAATCCCAACCACTGACACTCAAGAGGTAGCAGATGAACTCAATGGCTACTGGGCCAGATTCTGGTCACGAGATGATGATACAGCAGACTGGACCGAATTCTCCGACCTACTTCGACATACACCCATGGTCCCGCCCCTGGATGCCGCTCTTACATTGGAAGAATGGAAACAAGCAATTCGTCACCTGAAGCTAGGTACAGCCCGGGGAGTTTGTGGATGGTATGCCCAAGAACTGCGTATCTGCCAGATTTGGCAGTAGAAGATCTATTTCATCTTTTTCGTGACCACATGCAATCCATGCCTTCTCATTTGATGCGTGCAAGGACTATACCCTTGGGCAAGACCACACTGCCAGATCAAGCACATTTGACACGTCCCATCACGGTCCTTTCCTTGTTGTACAGACTGTGGGGTCGAGCTACCACGGTTAAGATACTTCAGCATTGGACCGCGCATTTCCCATCTGCAGTTGTTGGTTTTTTGCCGGCCAGATCAATGACAAATGCCATGGTGGGATTCCAATGGAAGTTAGAGCAAGCTCATCTTGGCACGGATCTGTCATATGGTGGTCTCACTTTGGACTTAGTCAAAGCATTCAATCTTATCGGTCGTGAACCGGCAGCAGAGGCAATGCTTCACTACGGACTCCCACCTGAGTGGGTGCAATTTTGGTTCTCCTCTATATCCGACATGGACCGAGTCTGGGAAGTTAATGGAAGCTTATCTCAGCCCTTCAAACCAACTACAGGCTGTCCTGAGGGAGATACATGGTCGGTTGCCGCTATGCTTGCGCTGTCCAATGTGTGGATACACATGCTGCAAGATACTCCAAAGCCAGTGGCCCCTCTGTCCTATGCAGACAACCTTGGATGGTCGGCACAAGACCCTGATGCTCATCAAGATGCTCTCACTTTGACACTAGCCTGGTCCCATGCCCTTAAGCTGCAGGTCGACTGGAAGAAAACGTGGGTGTGGGCCACTGACAGCACTCATGCGGATGCCTGGCGACAACATCGACGTCATTTTCCGGAATTACAGGACGTCCTTAAAGTTACCAATGCTCGAGAGCTGGGCTATATGATAGCGTATTTGAAATGTCAGAACAAGAAGACTTTCTTTGCTCGACATTCTGAAGCTCTTGAACAATGTCGTCGGATTTCACGGTTACCTCATCCTTTGTCAGTTAAAGGGAACCTTCTTCGAGCGCCGCTCTCCAGACTCCTTTATGGAACAGAGTTGCATATGGTATCCTTGGAGCATTTGAGACAACTCCGCACAGCCATGGCCCGGGCGCTACTGGGTGGACAGTCTCAACCCAATCCCTATTTGGCACTGGCAATTCTACACCAAGACATCCTTGATCCGCACTTTCAGCTCCTCTACCATGCATTCCGTACTATCCGTCGGTTTTTGTGGTCCCGGCCGGTTGAAGACCGTGGTCACTTCTACCGTCAGGTTGTCCGACACTCTGGCCATCCTTGGCATGTTTATGGCCCGGCGGGTACACTCCGCTACCATTTGGATTTCCTTGGATGGACTATGAATATTCATGGTCAGATTTTGACGGATGCATTTGGAAACGTGGAGTTCCTGACAAGTGCCCCTGCGCATCTCCACCAAGAACTGGTCTTCGCATGGGAACGACATGTCCAACTTCAGCTTCACGCCAGACATGATTGGAAAGGTGTACCGCAACCGGATTTTGCCACCACAGCCTCTTTGTTCACTAAACTTCCAGCTGACCGTCAGCGAATTCTGGCAGGTGAACTCACTGGTTCCTTTCAACTTCAGCACCGCAAGACAAAATGGGTTGAAGGGTTAGATGAGCATTGTCCCCTTTGTGGTGGAGATGACACTGTTGAACACCGGAGGCTCCTTTGCCCCGCTTTACAGCAGGCTCGAATGGCACATGGTGACGTTGTATCCCATTTGCTGGAGGTTGACTCTCTCACGCTCCCAGTGATATACAGACACCCTGAGCACATTTTTGACCACTGGTGGAGTCATCACATTCCTGATGCCACGTTGATGCCACAGGCTAAGCAACTCCTTGCACAGGATTGTGCCCAGGGTCTGCGACCCTTGGTATTCACAGATGGCTCTGCAGCTCCGCCAGCATACCCAGAAGCTCGCCAAGCAGCTGGTGCTGCTGTTGTGATCTCCAGGAGTCAGGTTGCGACACCAACTCAGTGGGAAATGTTGCTGCATACTTATTTTGCCTCATCCATGATCCCACCGGAGTTCGTCACAATGTGTGTGATGCCTACATCAGGATCTCAGACGATTCCTCGGTCGGAGTTAGCTATAGTTGTGCAGGTCATCCAGCAGAGCTCCTGTGTTGAGATTGTGACTGACTCTCAATATGTGATTGACCTCCACTGCCGAGTGAAGGCCCAGTCGGATATCGCAGCACTTCAGGCCCTTCCAAACTTTGACCTGTTGTATCAGCTCTTTCGCCTACAGCGCCAGCCTGGCTATGACGTTGTGTTCACTAAAGTGGCCTCTCATGCACTGGCTCCAGGAGCCCCAACATGGGAACGAGTTCTCCAATTAGGCAATGAGGCGGCGGACCAAGCGGCCAAAACTGCCCGGACCCAACTTGTTGATGCCTGTCGACAGGTGCCAACCTCACACTATCTGCAAGAACGTCAACGGGTCAGTGCACAATTCGCACTATGCTATGATGTTGGGTGCCTGCGGAAAAATCTGTTGCAGACTACGGAGACCACGACTTTGCCTTCGCAACCTGCATCTGATTTTCTGGATACTGAGGTTGCAGACCCTCACATGTTCCCTCCCCAACTTCATCAGACACCACTGATCCGCTTCAGCTTGTGGGGAGCAGGATTCACTGAAGGGATCCTCTTCTGGGCATCAAGCGTTAGATGGCCAAGAGACAGTTTTTGCACAGCAAAGGCTGACATTGGATCGGTTAGCGTTACTTGGATGGAGCTCCTCATTGACTGCCAGTTTACGCTCCAACTTCAATGGCCGCATAGCACTGTCAGTTCGAAGCACCCTCCAATACTCCGACATCCTGGTATCCATGGTGTCAACCAAGTGGATGTGCCATTCAGCTGGAACCTCAGCAACTTTCGCCGAGCAATTCGGCACCTGGAGGACCTCCTGGGATTGCAGCTTTTGCCTAAAGCTCGTGGAACTGTCAACTCACTTTATCGCCTAGGAGCTCGAGGCCACAAAAAAGGCATTCCATGGAGGCCGCAGCTCTGCTGCCCCAAGGAAGTGGAGCAGTCTCTGCGCGAATACTTCAGGTTGCATCCTCATTGCACTCAGTTCCGAGCACAACCACCAATGATTCAACTTCCTGCCAAGTTTGTTGTTTGCTGGAAACCGGACGAACGATCCTTCGAGCCTGACATAGGCAGACTTCGGCTAGCCCGTTTCACCTCGTGGAAGCAGAAGGGACGACCGTCCCCACTGCCCTTTGGTCCTCCAAGGTGAGGATCCGTCATCGCAGACAACGGACCTTCTTTGCCCTGTCAGCGGGGGGGGGAATCTCAATCAGTGCGCCGGTGACTTTTCCAATTCTTCTATAACATGTTTGTATTTCTCACTGTGATGAACATTTCTAGTAGGTACTAATAACAGATCATCCATAATATCCCTTGTTAAGATCCATCACGACCACTTGTGCCACTTATGTATAAAGTCTTACTTGTTTTTGTAAAATCCACTTGGTGATGAATAGGCGTTCCATAAGCCCCTGCGGTCTTCTATCTTCTCCTTGTTTGCTACATTTTTTCTTCAGCATATAGTGTTCTATGTTGTTTAAAGATGTTTAAAGTGATCATTTAAGTGTCTTGTAAAGTCATTCATTCTATCATTCCAGTTTTGTTTTTTTCATAATCACTGTAGGTTTCTTGACCGATCTTACTGATTAACACCTGGGCGCTTCCAGGCAGATCCTTCCAGGCAATGTCAGACACACCAATCATTCTCAAAAAAAGGTTGACAAATGCATACAAATGCTCATTTTCATCGAAAATCGCGCCGTTCACAGCGCTCCCCTCTCAAATTAAATACTGTTCTGACGTTCCCGGACCTTGGTGGGTAAGACTTGAGGCCAAGGGGGGGGGCGAAAGCTAGCGCTCCAGAATGGGAAAGTGGAGGGCGGCGAGGTAGGAAAAAACACGGCGCTCTTTTGGAGGCAGGCGCACGGAGTAGCAGAAGGCAGGACGCCTTGCACAAGTTGGGCGGGGCAAACGATTCCAAGTGAAGAGTCCTTTATATGTGGCTCTTTGCCCGGATCCGGATCCTCCTGCGAGAGAAGAGAGAGAAGAGAGACGGAAAAACGAGAGACAGAGAGGAGACAAAGAGAGAGAGGAGAGAGAGATGAGAGAGAGATGAAAAAGAGATGAGGGAGAGATGAGAGAGAGATGAGAGAGAGATGAAAGAGAGAGAGAGAGAGAGACAGTGAGAGTGAGAGTGAGAGTGAGAGTGAGCGAGTGCGGCCGCAAGATACGCAACGCTAACCGCATGCCAAAGAGCGACGACAGGACGGAGTCGAACTTGCGAAGAGGGAGGAGGGAGGAGGGAGGGAGGGAGGGAGGGAAGGTGGGAGGAAGACAAGGAGGAGGAGAGGGGAGGTGGAGAGAGGGGGGGGGGGGAGGGGGGGGGGGGGGGCTTCGACCTGAAAGATCAGGGGTTAGGATTTGCACCCGATTGAAAGAAACCTTGCTATCGCAAGAGCTTTCGTGAATTGCTCAAGAACAACGTGCGGTGATTACAAGGTTGGTTTACAATCAATTTTTTTTTGTTTTGCCAACCTTGGGGTTACTTCTGCCATATTTGCGGCCCTATGGGTTTGATGATATTGCAGTTGGCCTTTGCATATCAGGATTGGCCGGATGAAACCCACATAGCGCCTTCAGCAGCCTGCCGCGGCCATCTTCAGGGCCCATGGCTCGTCCACAGGAAATATTCAGTGCAAAACCAATCAATGGCAGATTTTCTTGACTGAAAACGGTGGAAAACTGTCAAATTTTGCTTGTCAAAATGGTTTTCATTAGTTTTATTCTGAACACGCACGTTCGAGCCAGAACAGCCGCTACACACAAAAGTGTTGTTGTAAGTTGTTGAGGTAAGTAATTATTCCCAATCGAGATGGTTAACGCGTTGTTGACCATCAATCCAAACGTCGAGGCGCACGCCGACACTTGACGAAACCGACCTTCCAACCAAAGCCGCTCCCGCAAATGTTCGGGCACAACCTTGCAAATGGCCAAGAGGTGCCGGGAGTGACTCCGGGAGTGGTATACCCCGGGCCCGTGCGGGCTCGCTGCTGGCTCGGCGCCTGCTTGGTGCGGGGTCTGTGCGGGCTTGCGGGCTCGGCGCGGTTTCGCGGGCTTGCGGGTTCGATGTGGGCCCGTCCCCTCAAGCACGCTTGCAGGTCTGTGAGTTAATTGCGTGCGTGCTCAGTGTGGAGTGTCTAACACAATTGGTGAATTGCAACCACTACATATCAACACACGTCTGCGACACTTTGAGTTGCCCTCACAAGCAAGCCTTTCACCGTATTCCACCTGCCAACATTCATTGGAGAAGTCCCGCCCCCGCCCCCCCGAAGTGAAAGTTTATGGGGCGGAAAGGGGGAATACCAATTACACCGGCATAGGCCCCAAATAGGGCGTGTATAAGTTCAAAAAAAGGCACGCCGCGGCACAGCACGCAACATCAGACCAGTCCACCAATAGATGTGTGCAACATCTATCCGCTGAATGCGCCCGCTTTGCCCAACACAGACGTTAAACTACAAGATCGGCAAGGACCAGCCAAAGCTGCCCAAACGACATGATGATCATTGCTGCCCAACACGGTGTCACGCACAATATGTGACATGATGATCATGATGTTTTTCTCTGGCATGACGTGATGTCACCCCTGGCATGACATGACGTCATCCTGGCATGACGCAAAGCGAAACGCCGATCCAGAGCCCCCCTGCCACTTCTACCAATACTATCCAATACTGCTCCCGCAGCCGCAGCCACCCCCACAGCATCCATGCATAACACCGTTGCCAATACCACATCAGTAATGTCACGACAACGTAGTACAATACAGCCACTACGACCACCACCACCAGCAAAACCTTTTATTTCTTTTCGAATAATGCTTCGATTAATGTTTGCATGGGTGGGCGGTGGGAGGGTGCGGCGTTTCCCCCTTCTTGACAATGGAGAAAGGTCTATCTCCTTGGCCGGGCCTCGCTGGGCTATATGTTTTTTTGCTACACTCCTTCCCGTCGGTGGTGGTGTTTGCTGTTGCCCAATTTCCGTAGTTGTTTCCCAGAGTGATTGGGCGGGAACTTGCGGTCCTTAGCGCTTGGTGTTAGAGGTGGAGGGGGCGTTTCCAGCTTCGAACGAATGAATTTGGCATTTCGACCCGGCATGGCCATTTGGTCATGGTCCATGGTCCTAGCGTGAGGGTTGGCCGCTCCGAGCCAGCGGGCCCGCGCGATTCCTCCAAAAAACCCACTTTGTTCCCCAGATAAGGAATGTCATCATTTTCATCTAATTTTTCAATGGTGTGGCTTTGGGTCGGCGATTTGGTTTTGCCGGTGCCGCTGCCGTGCTGATGTTGGTGCAGGTGTAGTTGTCGTCGTCGTCGTCCTCGTCGTGGTGGTGGGTGGCGTAGAAAATCGTAGAAACAGGTGTTGGAGCAGCGGGGCCCAAGATGTACACAAAATGGTTTACAATGTGTTGCGCCTGCCACGGCACCTGCGCCTCCCACGAACTCTGCACGTGAGGGCCGCACATAGCAATAGCATGCCATAGCGCTGTGGTTGCCACGGCATTTGCATATGTAAAATTGTCAAACTGTGGCGCTTGCAACAAGCCTCTGCACGCCGAGTCCAACAGTAAAGTTCAAAGCATGCTGCATTTGCCACGCGGGTCGCCCACCACGAGATCTGCGCCAAGCACGACAAGGGAAACGAACCTGGTGTCAAAAATTGTCCAAGAAAGTTCCCGACTCACTGCATCTGCCACGGGGTCAAAGCGCGTCGAAAACCCGAAAAATGATCCAACTCCAAAGCGTTGCGGCTGCCACAAAATCTGCGCAGTGATGTACAACCATTATTAACAGTTCCGATCTGCTGGCCCCAGGGTGTGTTTGTTTGATTTTGTTTGTGTGTCTGAGGTTGTGTGGTTGTGTTTGTGGTTTTGTGTTTGTGTGTTTGTGGTGTTGTTGGTTGTGTTTTTGTGATTGTGTTTATGCTTGTGTTTTTGTGGTTGTGATTCTGCTTGTGGTTGTGCGTTGTTGCTTGTGCATTGTGGTTGTGTGTTGTTGAGGTCACTGCAATCTGGCGCTTGCTGTTGAGGTCCGGTAGTGCCTACTGCGATCCCGCGCTTGCCGTTGCAATCCGGGACGGACAAACGGACGGACGGATGGATGGACGGACGGAAGCCTATCAGCCTATCTGTAAAATCTACAGTAACGACCCGCGGAAAAACCAGAACCTGACGGAAGGAAAGTATCGACCTCCGCTTCAACTGTCTACTTCTTGAGAATCTATGAGAATCCCGATCCCAATCGTGACAGTCGGGCACCAAGCCCCCGTCCTTCGGAAAAGCACCCCGGCGTGCCCTGGCATGCCCAATGACGGCAGTGCTGGGTTAACGAAGAAGAACTTCGCAAGGGCCAGCCATGCAACCACCCATTAGCAAAGGAGGATGCCTGAGGCCTGAGGCCACCAAGAAAATTCCGGACCAGAAAGCCAAGATGTCCAGGATGCCAAGCTGGGCAGCAGCTACCATAACCAACAGCCAACCTAAGCACCAAACCATCTATATATATATTACAGTATATATAATTAGTTGCCAAAGCATGGAGGCACTAGGTCACTAGGCTATCAAGCCAGCACGATGTTTTGGCAGCTAACACAAACCGACCGCGTGCTTTGCTTTTACGGTTGTACAGTACAATGCACCAAATGCACACCGAGAAAGTTGAAAGCACGGTGTTGCCCAGTGGAGTGCAAAGAACATCAGATTCCTCTAAAAGCAAACACGTACACGGACGTCGTCCAAACTGGCCTTGCAAGCAATGGAGGAAGTATCAAACGCTCACAGTGATGGCTCAACCATGAATGTTATTATGGCACTGTCTTGCGCTTGCCGTCGGAGTTGTGGCTGTTCCGAGCTTCTTGTCGTTTGACAGTTTTCGCTTGGTAGTTATTGCTGACCCTTCGGCTTTGCTGTCATTGAACATGTTTCTGGTTGTGTGTTTTGTCGCTTCCTGCTGTTGAAGCCTTGGTAATTATATAGTTGGTTCTTGGATTGTTCGAAAGCAGCAAAGCAAAGCAGGGTTCACAGCTAAACTTAATTTTCGCATCGTCGTTCGGGATCATTCTTTCATCTTCTTGAGGCCAGCGAGCCCGCAGCCCTAAAAGAAGACGCCCTTGGACGGCGGGCGCGGCGGGCGAACTAGTCCAAAGGGCCAGTGTGCGGCGTGCGCAGGAGTTATTTTCTTGCTGTCGCTACTGGTAGCGTCCTTGTTCCTAGCAGCGATGGACCCCCCAACCTACTTCCGATGGCCTCCACCTAATTGCGTCTTTGTGAAACCTGTCTGTGCCCAAGATCTAACCAATTGTCCTTCCGTCCGTGAAACCAAGACCATCACCCCAGGGTGGCCCAAGCGCGAGCCCGGAGGACGGGGGTCGGGGAACCGTCCAGCTTTCGGTGACAAACTTCTAAACAGATCAGCAAAGACAACTCCATTGCACGCTTGGCACCAATTGTACTGCGGAGGCACCCTCACATCTCAGCCAACATAGCACCTTTTTCTCCAACTCACGCGCCGCTTTACAAAGCTTCCCTCTGGTGTTTCTCCACTTTGGCGAGTGCTAGCGGTGCTGTGCTTCTTGACATTTCTTGACTGTCACAACATGGGTTCAATCACCATGTGCTTGAACAGGCAATGTCTCGGTCCATGAAATTCTGGACTGCAAACACTTGGTTTGATACTGCTGCAGGAACTTGAGCTTTTGTCTGCATTCTGCATTCCTGCTATCTGCTTCTGCCTCATCATCCCTCAATTGCTTCCAGAAGCCTCTGAAGTAACTCAGCCTAACACGCAGCAGGGTTCAGCAATGCATGTGCAACTGGATGAGTCACCACGGTCAAGAATCGAAAGGAGAGCGCTTCCACGCGTGAAAGCAACAATCGTGGGGGGTGGGAAGCTACTAGGAACAAGTGCATCGCTACTAGTAACAGGTGCCTTACTAGTAGTAACAAGAAGCTACTAGAAACAAGTGCCTTACTAGTAGTAACAACTTCACTTCACTCTGACATCCTCTCCGCCTGCCTTCTTGCCAGTTGTGGGCAGGTTAGCTTCTTGCAAAGCTTGCTTAAGCTCGGCCACTTTCCTTGGCAAGAAAGCACTATTGCAGTTGAATCTCCGTGAAGTAGAACACAGCTGCTTGACTGCATGATGTATACATGGGAATTAGTAATTAGTTTGACGATCTCACAGTCTGAGAAGTCTGAAAGCCTCAAGCCTGATGCAGGGAGAGCCGTGTGGACTCATGCTCTGGTCAATGGCATAAGTCAATGTAGTTGCTACCCCTTCAATCAATTGCTGAGATACCCAGCTTTGTATACAAGGGTTCTATTCTCCCACTACAGGACTGGACCCTTTCCAATTCCTGTCATGGAAAAAGCTTTGACCTATTGACTATTGTTTGTTACAAACACACTTCATTCTCAAGCCCATTCTCAATCGTCCAAGAACCTTTCAGAGCTTCATCAGCTCTATCTAGGCTCAACGGACAAACAAACAAAACCACACTCCTCTTTCCAGTGTACATACAGCATTGACCACGACAAGCTGGTTACGCAGTGTCCTGCGCACTGTCCCACACTGGGAAGCCTCACATTTTGTTTGCCTCTTCTGCCGTCGGTAAGCTTGGCTTGGGAGCCTCGTGGGACGTGGCCAA